TTAATCAACATAAAATCCTGTTAACTGATGATCGATCAACAAACAACACTGCTAACTGGTGAGATGTATATTAATCAACATAAAACACTGTTAACTGATGATCGATCAACAGACAACACTACTAACTGGTAAGATGTATATTAATCAACATAAAACACTGTTAACTGATGATCGATCAACAAACAACACTGCTAACTGGTGAGATGTATATTAATCAACATAAAACACTGCTAACTGGTGAGATGTATATTAATCAACATAAAACACTGTTAACTGATGATCGATCAACAGACAACACTACTAACTGGTAAGATGCATATTAGTCAACATAAAACACTGTTAACTGATGATCGATCAACAAACAACACTGCTAACTGGTGAGATGTATATTAATCAACATTAAACACTATTAACTGATGATCGATCAACAGACAACACTGCTGACAGATAAGATGATATTAATCAACACAAACACTGTTAACTGATTATCGATGAGCAGATGAGATATTACAGTTAGCTGACAAGATATATGTTGACCAGTGTGTAATGCTGTTAACCGATGAGATGTGTTTCGGTCAACAGAGACCACTTTTCACTAATGAGATACATATTAGTCAATAGAAAACTGTTAAAATATTAGATATTTACTGAACAACAAAAAATACAGTTAACTGATAAGATGTATATCAAATAACAGAAAACAAGGTTAACTGTAGGCATAACGTGCACGTATTATGAGATTTCTCCACCTCTGTTGTAAGAAAAGGAACTGCTCCACATTACAGTGACGTATCGATAGCTTAGCTTACACTGCGAATAGCTATCTTCCAACCACAATGTCTACAAAAAGTACAGACAGTCATACTGTAGTGTGGTAAATGCACTCATGACTCCACTTTCCATACTATAGTGTGGTAAATGCACTCATGACTCCACTTTCCATACTATAGTGTGGTAAATGCACTCATGACTCCACTTTCCAGAAAGCGAACGTAAGGAATGTTTTGCTGGTGAACTACTAACTCCTTTTGACGGATTGATCCAACATTGATGTTTTATAGTGTGGCAAATGCACTCATGACTCCACTTTCCAGAAAGGGAACGTAAGGAATGTTTTGCTGGTGAACTACTAACTCCTTTTGACGGATTGATCCAACATTGATGTTTTATAGTGTGGTAAATGCACTCATGACTCCACTTTCCAGAAAGGGAACGTAAGGAATGTTTTGCTGGTGAACTACTTACTCCTTTTGACGGATTGATCCAACATTGATGTTTGATTAGGAGCTTTATGAAAACTCTGAATAAAATAGTATTGTTGACGATAGAAGTGATCAAGGTAGAAAGCCGAAACTCTTCAAAGGTGAAGTTTAAGTGACTCAACAGCTGCTTTTTATACGATACAGAAATTTACAGTAATGATTTTCTCAATGACCTAGCTGAAAACAGAAGTGTGAATTTTTTAGATTTCTCGATATTTAAATTGTTTGGTAATAATAATGATGCTGGAGACCATAACATGGTTAATGTATAGCATCTAGAGTGAAACATGCTGGGAGACAAATATGAATGTGGGCTGTAACTCAGCTGATGATGTTGGAGATCTAAACAAATCTTTTGTCACTTTGACTACTAACAATACTAGCAGGTGATTATCCACCACGTTATTCACTCAGGGATAAGACCTATTACGGATTAATAGGATTAATCTTCTAGAAAGTCATTGTCTTGTGATCTGAAGCCTGTATCAAATGTTGAGAAATGATACCCGGGAATGAAAAAAAAAAAAAAGATTAGTGAAACACACTAGCATCCATGGCTTGATAGGCAAAAATGCGTGATAAGAATATTAATAAGATGTATGGACGTATATTAAAAGTGAGAGATTCAAACGGCAACCAAACAACTTGTTTTATTTGTGGAGAGTAATGTGCAAAGTTTGGAACAGTATTCAACAATCATAAGTTGATAAACTGATTATGCCATAAAATGAGGAGTACTGATGTATTTACTCGTATTTTGTATAACTTATTTACTTTATTTCATATTGTCTGCTTTAGGTATGTATTCAATGATAAATTCTCTATTTAATTGCAAGCTGTCATTTTTTATGATTCCTGTATGTGTATCACTTGTGTATTTCCATGATTATTTACAATACTTTGTATCTACTAACTATGTAAACTGACCGGATGTGTTTCGAACAACAGATAACAATGAAACGTAGAAAGTTCTATAGACAACACTATTAACTGATGAGATGTAAAATATATGTCTAACAATCAGTTAGATAATTAAATTTGTCTTCTCTAATAATGGAAAGAAGCAGCCAGAAAAATATGTTTATTTCAATTATATGTGTTTTGATGTATCCATCGTCAACTGTTTGTTTCGCTCGAACGTTATGTTGTGCTGTAATATGAGTTGTAGAAACTACTGTGATGATAGAATATAGCTCGAAGTTTTTATTAGAACTCAACAACATTTAAAATATCATTTGGGCAGATGTAGATAAAAAGAAATGGCACAGTATTTAACAATAAAATAACAAACGTCAGTTAGTCATAGATACTCATGTTAAAATCCGAATTGTAATGTTTTCAAACACTAAAACAACTATTTTAATACCCTTTAACATGAGATGCATATAACAATATAAAATTTTATTTATTTTTAGACTACTAAATATGGCAACCTTACAAGCCATAAAAGTACAATTCCTAACGAAAATATCTCTGGACGGTTAGTGGCTAGTTTACAAACTTACAACACTAAAATCTGGGGTTCGATTCCACGCGGTGGAAGTAGCACAGAAAGCCCATTGTGCAGATTGTATCAACAAAACAACAACAGAATGAATACTTACTGATGGTTTTAAAAAGAAGAATGAAGTTACTTATAGACTGCTTTTGCATTTAACATCAATGATGGCTAAGAACGACTAAATACTGTGGGTAATTACATTTTATAAGAACGATGTTTCAGATTCCATGCTTCTTCAGTCGTTGGTTGCGTTTGGTATTATGCACATGCTATGTAATATGTCGACATCGCAAGCTGAATTATAAAATTTTCTGCGAAGAATAGCGAGCCCAATTTTACACCACAGATCTTGACAAATTTTGCACAGAACTTCCAATATAGATGAACGTTGGCTTCCAAGACAACGTTTCAGCAGATCAAAGTCTACTGGAACTGTATCAGTTACATTTAAATGATATGTGGTCGAATGAGGCTGCTGTACTTCCAGTTTCTTCGGTTATATTTCTCATGAAAACAGCCGTTACTTTCGAGGTGTGCTGGAAACGTGTGAGTTATCATCAGTTATAATCCTTATTTACTAACGCGATAACAGAGCCAGATGTGCTCATTTTGAACGTAATAAATTTATAAGACCGATTAATTCTGTTTCGTAATAATAGCCTTCACTTTACGGATTTGGTTGCATTGTTCCAGAGCCTATTGTTTACTTATTGTACAAGTTTATCTGGATCCAGGGAAAACACCGAAGGCTTATCAAAATGTTGTGTCCTTTGGTTAGACGTCGTTTTACAGTCTCACTCTATAGGAATATTTTTCCTTGTAAGGGCTGTAAATTATTCCTCCATTCATGTAGTTATAAATATATGGGACCGATCGTGTCGGACTGTGAATCTGAGGTTCCGTGGTTTGTACTCCGTTATCGGAAAAAAAGGAAAAAAATCAAATCGCTCTCCTACTCCCTTCAAAATTATGGACATCTAGCGCAGGCAGCCATGTAGTAGCTTTGCACGAAAATCAACAGAAGTAAACAGACTAACTAAATATAAGGTTATTAAACATGCTACACGTTACACCATGACTTGTATTATAGTTGTAAACTTAGATTGGACGGCTGAATAAAGGCTGAGGAGCAGAACGATTTTGTTTTTAAAAGTTAAATAAATAGTATCATATGTAACCTTGTTGATTAAACTAGAAGCTTTTATAAAACTCTAGTGTATTTTTAACCAGGACCTAGAAAAAGAAGCGACTTTGATGACATTTGGTCACCTTGATCTAGAGTAACAAGTGTTCATGATTCAAGATATGTTAAACAAGGCCCTTGAAAATAAATTGATTATGATCGGAAAGAAATTAATATGATTAAAACGAGAAAATATTGATTATCAAATCAGGACGAATAGAAGAAAGATATTCTGACCAGACAGAAACAATTAATCCAAGGTGTGCAGAAGGAACTGACTGTGAAGAGAGTGTATTAAAAACGATTTACACAAAGAAGTGACTGTTTCCTAGCAGAAGCTGTTAAATTACGGTTTTCAAAAGGAATCTATTTTCACCATCAGATCCCATTAAACCAGTATATGCAGCTGAAAATATTTCGACCATATAAAGGCTACTTATCGAGAATTTAAAGAAAGAAGTGATTATGAACAAATTGAAACTGTTTCGTCCTGACTGTTTTATTATTGTAATATTGAAAGTTTAAGTAGAAACTGCATGAACATTTATAATTTCGAAAAGTCAAACATTTTACTGACGTTGAATCATCTCTCTGTGAAACTTTCTGAGTTCATTTGTGTAAACACTCGTATATTGATTCATTATGTAATAACTTCCCATGGAAATGTAACTATCTCATCTCTATATGTTTCTTTTACAATCATTGACTCAAACATCATTTAACAGTTGAAGTCACGCTAACGTTTCTTGCTTCTTAAAAGATAATTTCGCAAAATGTTTGAAGGTATTTACGGAATACTGATAACAATTAGAGCATAAGGAGGTTAGTTACAAAGAATATTAAACAAATATTAAGATGTAAGGTGTCTAATCACTAACTTTAGTTTTGAAAGGGCATTCATTAAGCTAATTTGTATAACACGCTGTAAGGTGTCTAATCACTAACTTTAGTTTTGAAAGGGCATTCATTAAGCTAATTTGTATAGCACGCTACACACTGACTTTTATTTGGGAAAAACTCTAACAACGATAGAGAAGTAAACAAAGTAACTTACCAGCTTCACTTTTTTTATCCTCACCAAACCTCCTCAGCACCTGCATGTAGAACACACCAAACGATAACTGTAGCCCTGTGGTTAATCCGTGAACTAAGAAAGCACAAGCACAGATCACCCATCCCCACCCACCTTCTGGGTAGTAATGTTGCATGATTGTGGAAGTTTTGAGTTCTATTAGTTCCGAAGGAAGCTGGCGGCCATCGGGTTGACCAGCGGTTTTGCGTGAACCTGATTCTGGACGCATGTTAGTCTTCTCATGAGAAGTGGCAGCGCAACAACCAGCTCGGGTCTTTTCACCAGCTTCGGCGGACAAGCTGATACGCTCGGAAGAAAAAGACATTCTACGTCGTTCCACCGACACTCTGTCCGACTCTATAGCGTCAGAAACGGCCTGTCCTCGGATACTGGCACCATGCTCACTGTCGTCTGTAGGTAGCGAATCTTCTCTTCCTTCCATAATTCATCAAACTCATCGTTTCTCACGCGAAACCTCATTTGTGTATAACTTTATGAGCTGGGTTGATGCTAACTTCATAAGAAATACAGACCCATGACAAAATTCTTCTCTGCGTTTTTAGGCAACTCATGAGCTAGCACAATGCACTTAGCTAATCACTAACAGACAGTACACATTTTTCTATAAACTGAACGTTGATTCAGTATTGAGCTGATGTTCACCAAATGTTTTAAAAACATCAACTTAAAATCGAATGCACGTATTTGAAAATGTAGAATAGGAACAAACAGCACAACAGTAGTCACTTTCTCTGAAAGAGATCCGATTATTTTTCCACTAGCTAAAGCTAAATGTGTTTGCTTAATAATCTCACTTATGCGCTGTCCATCGAGTTAGTAACCACAAGCTCTTACGAACTACAATCACATTTCCCGCTAACTTCGACTTTTAACACTTGCTCACTTTAAATCACCCACATCAACTTACCATCGATCTTGTCGGTCTATAATGAGCGCTCTTTAACACCACGAAAAGTAGACCCGGGTGATGGAGCCCGTGGATGAATGACGTGATCTGTCAACGTTCACCTATTTTCTATGTTGAATAGGATCAGAAAAATAAAAAAGACTGCTGAACGTTTCACAGGAAGCACTTAATTTTTGTTGATTTTTTAAATCTCAGTGTTGAAAAATGGAGACAGATGTAATGGAAACTATAACGGAAAGTTTGAAATGATCAAGAATTGTGTGCTTGTTAAGTGTGTGAGTGTGTAATACTGAACTATATGTAGCTGTTAACTTGTTTGAGAGATACTATATAGGCCTTGTATACGGAAACGTAGGCCTTGTGTCGGAAATACGACATGTTTAGTTGTTTAAAGAACAATAGAGCTTAATTATAGATAAAAATAATATTTGTGTAAAATAGTACCTTAAAGACTTTCTTATACGGTTCAATGTTATTAGGATACGTATTATACATTTACTGTAAATTAATGTAGTCAGTGTAATATATATTATGCAGCATAAGGTATATGGAAATTTTAGTTTGTTTTTAGAGAGAATTTCTTTTGATTAGACTAATATTACGATGTCCTTGTGTGAAGTGATTGTTTCCCATATGATATTTCCAATTACGTCACCAGGAATGTAGTACTTTTTCCACTTAGATTATTTTCGAAACAGGGTGTCACTGTGATTGGTCGTATTTCTAGTTTTAGTGATAACTCACTGCTTTCCTCGATGCGTTGTGCTCCATTGTCCAGCTTGTTTTCTCGATTCAGCATTATTCGAGTGATCAATAAAATATGTGGAAAAGTAACTCCAGTGGAAATTAACTTTTCCTGGTAGAGAGGGTGTCATTTACATCCTTTGATATTTCTTTCTTAACAGTTTGTTTGTTTTTAATTATGCACAAGGGCTATCTGTGCTCTGCCCACCACGGGTATCGAAACCCGGTTTCTAGCGTTGTAAGTCCGCAGACATACCGCTGTGCCACTGGGGGGCCTTTCTTAACAGAATCGCATGAAACTTAGAACAAACTTACTATATAGAATTTCGATTGAGCACTAGAATTGTATAACTTGATTAATTTCTCTGTCATTTTGTATGCTGTGAAATTTCCAAAATTATGTTGAACGACACTAGTTTTAAAACATGAAAAACACATCTTTTATTTTTAGAAATTAATTTATTTTATCGTTTATCATAAAGTTCATTTATATATATGTATATATATATATATACACACACAATTAGTTACAACTTGTTTGTTATTCCTTAACATTATTTCTTATGATGTATTTTACTTTGTCTAGTTATTTTGTAGTCATCTACTTTC